GACCGGCACCCCGAGCGCCGCATGCGGGCGGCCTTCACGGCCTTCGAGGAAGCGCAGCTGCCCCGGCTCAAGCAGGAGAACCCCAACATGCGGCTGTCGCAGCTGAAGCAGCTACTGAAGAAGGAGTGGCTGCGCTCTCCGGACAACCCCATGAACCAGCGGGCCTTGCCTTTCAACGCCCCCAAGTGAGACCAGAACTGGGGGGACCGCCCCACAGGCGGTCCAGGCCACGACTCGACTGCGAATGCCCTCTCACTGGGTCAGCTCTGAGGATTTCAGAGAGTCCAGGGACCCTGGTACCTGTCCCTGGGGCTGTGTGCCATCACCGCCAACCCTCTTTCGCCAGTGGGTCCCTGCTCTGAGTGACACCCTCAATATCCCGCGGCACCTGTGGAGCCCCGGGACTGAGCACCCAATAAAGGCGGTGGGCAAGGCCTGTGTGCGTGGGTAGCTGCGGAGGGTCGGCCAGAGGGGGGCGGCTGGCAGTGTTCTCCTTGGGTACCGGCCCTTACCTGAGCTGAGACCGTGGCTGGGAAAGGCGAGGGCCCACTTCAAGCTATGACACTTGTCCACTGAGACCCGTATGACCTTCTCCTGCAGCCTGCAGGGCTCAGAGACATGTGCTGGCCCAAGGTCATGTAGCATTTCAGGGCCAGGGAGAGAGGACAGTTGGAGGCCAGGGTTCATCTGCCACCATACTTGGGGTGAGGGGATACTGGTTCCTCTGCTGTCATCTCTACAGGGGAGGCGTCTGGGAGGGATTCTGGGCTGGCTTCCCACTGGTGGATTTCTCCCGAGCCTGCCTTACAGGATGAGTCAGATGGCATCCTGAGGGGCGACGAGGGCGCTGAGCTGGCAGGGCCCAGAGGCTGCAGCAGGCAGGTGGATCTGGGTGGGAACAAGCATCCTATCAGACTGTGGGAAAGACAGGGTGGGCTTTGACCCCATTTCTGGCTTCTAGAACCCATAATCCATGGAGAGAGGGTCAGCAGGCGGGTTCACGAGGCTGTGGGGTGAGCACATTGCTTGGGCCATGGGGGAGGAAAGCCAGGTCTGATCCAGGCTGTGCCTTCACCCGCGAGGGCTGGCAGTGGCCAATCATCTGTAGCACTTGACTTCGTGGGCTCAGGGACAGAGGGCAGGACAGCAACTGGCCCTGGGAATGGCTGTGAGGCAAGGGAAAGATCCAGGCACTTGGGAGGCTGAGGCTGACCACAAGTGAGGCCAGCCTGTGTGACTTAGTGAGACCATGTCTCAAAAATAAAGGGTTGGGACGTGGCTCTGTGGTAGAGCGCTTGCCAGCACTGCAGGCCCTGGGTTCAATCTCTACTGCCACATACACAAGCAATAGATACTTGTTGAGTGCCTGCTGTATGCCAGGCCTTGGTACTGTAGGAATTGAGATCACCCATGATGGGCATGGGGGGGGAGGTTAGCGATTTTGCTGGGCTGTTCTTAGGGCTCCCGTCTAGGGCAGGCCCTACCTGTGCCCACTGCTCCTTGACCTCGGAGACTTCAGCACAGCAGTTCTGTTCCCCTCCACACCTCTGCCCTGTTGGTTCCTCCCACCAGGAGAGATGCAGGTCCCCACAGATGGGGACCCAGCTTAGAGAGTCAGGGCTGGGGTGAAGTCGGCCAGCCTCCACCCAGAGGTAGGGAAGGCCTCAAGGAGGAGGGACCTAAAGGATGCATAGGAGTTCTTCACCCAAGCAAAGGACAGAAATGCAAAAGGAACCTTACTTACAGAGGCCTGGCAGTCACAACTCCTGTGACGATGGGAAGGTGCATTGAAAATTGGCTACAGCTGAAGAATAGTATGGCCGGTGCTGAACGGTGGTCACTGACATTAAAGGCCACCCAGCAGGACTGGAGCTGTGGCCAGAGGGGCTCACCTGCCCAGCATGCCCTAAGCCCACGTTCCATCCCACTATAGGAAAGAACTACCCAAAATAGATTGAGCCCAGGACTTAGTTTGGAGGTCCCCCAGGAGCCAACCCTGGGACTAGGCCTTCAGGGTTTGGGGGGGGGGATTCAGAAAAAGCCCCAGGAAGCCTGGGGAGTGAGGAGTAAGGGACTGGAGGGTACAGTGCCTGGCAGGGGTGCTGAGGAAGGGAATGGGGACTGTACCAGCCAAAAGAACTGCCCCTAGATGCCAGGCCCGGGCCAAGCATGTGACAGCAGCATCAGAGTCCTGGGACACGGCCAGTTTCTCCATGGGTGCAGGTGCCCTAGCCAGAAAACAGGTCCAGATCACGCTCCACAAATGGAGGCCTGGGTTGGAATCCCATCTGCACCTCTTTTAAGATCTCGGGGAAGGCTCTTAACGGTCTAAGCCTCAGTTTCCTCCCCTATAAAACGGGGGAGGTGGGGGGGAGACAGTCCCGGCCCCAGGCTGTCTTGAGAATCCTCGAGCCTGGGAAGGGCGAGAGCTAAAGAGGGGCTTGGCAAAGGAACCTCCCGCGTGACGGCGGGGGAGGAGGGAAGGTCGGGGGTCAGTGGTGATGAGCCTGTTGGAAACAGCCAGGCGGGAGCTTCGGCCTCGTCCGGAAACAGAATGGGGCTTCACCGAGACGGTGGGGCGCCTGGGCGGATCGGCGCGTGGCATGATCTCCTGGAGACCGGTAAAGGGACCAGAATGAAGCTAAAACTCAGGACTGGAGCCGAGAGCTTCGCCTTGAGCCCTCAGACATAAAGACAAAGCGGATAACTTTGTTCCTTCGGACAGAAAAGACCCAGCTCGCTCCGGCCCCGCCCCTGCGGAATTCCAGACCTGCGCCTGCGCGCTGGCAACTGGGAATCCCCGCTCCAGGAGGGGGCGTGAGAGGGGAGTTCCGTGCATTCCCAGCCCTCCCCGCGCGCGTTGCCAGGACGACCGGGCGGAGCCGTGGGGCCGCCGGGTGCGCACTGCGCCTGCGTAAGGGGTGCTCGCCTCACGCGTCTGGGCTTTCCCTTCGCGCGGCGGCTCAGTGCGCATGCGTTGATTCCCCTCCACCCACGCTCTCCTCCGCCCTGGGGGCCGGGGAATCCTTTCCAGCCGCAGTGCGCACTAGGGGCGGGGTGGGGAAACCGGCTCAAACCGGAGTGGGGTTTGCCGAGGGGGTGGCGGAGGAGCTTGCGAGAGCGGGGTCTTCCCGAGGTTTCCGCTCCAGCCCCCGCCGTCGCCTTGACAACCGGGCGCGCAGGCCGCAGTGCGGGGGCGGTGTCGGCCTCGGGGAAGCCGCGTGGCTCTGCGCCTGCGCGCGGGTCGGAGCCGACGGCCGGGGTTCCCCTTGGTGCGCCCTGGGGGCGGGCGGGAGGGGGAATGGAGGCGACTGTGCGGGAAGGGAGGAGGAGGGGCGGATGCCGGAGAAGGGGCAGTGGGGGGAACGGTGGATGGGGATGCGGGGTGTCGGGGAAGGGCGAGCCTCGGGTGGGGGACCGGGGAGGGTGGGATGAGAGAACCCGGAGGGGGAGGGGAGCCGGGGCTCTGAGAGGAGCGGAGGGAACAATGTGAGGAACAAAGAGACCAGGAGGGGACTTTGGGGTGGAGGAGTGGAGGGAGGGGAGTGGGGCGGGGAGAGGTACTTTCAGCGCCCCCAGCGCCTGGCCTGCAGGGGTGGCAGGTGGGGGTCGCTGTGGCAGAAAGCAGCTTGGGTGTCGGTTTAAAATTTCCAGATTTAGAAAATAAATCTCTTTAAATTTGATTTTCAGATAAACGAGTCATTTTATCATGTGTGTCCCATTCCGCGTCCTGTACCTTCTCTGGCAGCCCTTAGGTTGTTTTTCTAAACGCCTAGGGATCCTGGGGGAGCCGCCTTTGTCTCGGTGTCCCCAACGCCACATTGCCCTGCACACGGGGTGCCCTCTCACCTCCTGTCGTGTTGGCCTTGAACTCCAGCCTGAAGTCCAGTCCCGGGCAGCCAAGGAAAGGCTCAAAGGCGTGGCACCCATACGCACCCCTGGGGACCTACTAATCCTGCCCAGCCCAGGGTCCTCTGCTTTTGGCCCGCTCCCCCCCATTCTCTGGTTACATAAGTACGTGGCACATAGTAGGTGCCCTAGGGAGTGAGGGTTACATTTCTCAGCCTAAGACAGCTGAGCCCTTGGTCCCATGGGGGCACATACCCTCTCTGGGTCTTTGTCCCTTTCAGCAAAGCGGTTTTCCTTTTATCCTTCCCTTTGGTTTCAAAAGTGTGGAGAAGTAGTGAGGGGGGAAAGGGCAGCACACCCCCACACACACACACATTTGTCTTTGCTGTCCCCACTTATTTGCCATTGGAACAGTTTCACTTCCAGGCTGGTTTCCACTCATGAGGTGAAGAACTCACTTCCTGTGGGTCCCTTCCCCAGTGGCATGTTATTTTGGAAATGGCTTAGCAGTCTGGGGTGGGGGACACGTGGCCACCTGACTCTTCAATTTTGCTGCCCAAGGGGACATCCCTGCCACAGATGGGGGCTGTGGTGGATCTTCTGTGCTTTGACCCCAGGGCACTTTCTAGCACCTCTTTGGATGGCACTTCCTTATTCAGTGCAGGGTGATCCCTGGGGCGTGTGGGTCTGGAGCAGGATCCTCTGACCATTGGCCAAGCCCAAGGGGCACTTAGCTCCCGGTTCCCTAGGGGAAGCACAAGATGAGTGAGTGTACAGGTCACACCAGGGGCCAAGAGCAGTGAGGACAGTAAGTCAGGGTGATGTGCCCTGAGAAGGGAGGCTTCTAGGCAGGAGGTGACCTTGGATTCAGGCTCAGAAAGAGAACCCAGGGTAAGGGTAGGAGGTAAGGAGAGCAGGGGAAGGGGATCCTGGTAGAGGGAGAGCCGATGGCAAAGGTTCAGGCTGGACTGGTTCAGAAAGATGCTGGGCGTGGCCAGAGTGCACTGGGTGGTCTGGGGAGACGCTCAGAGACTGGGGCAAGAGGTGCTGCAGGAGGAGAAACCAGACTCTGGGCCTGGGAGAAGTCAGGGTGCTCTAGGTTCAGGAAAGAGGGAGGGGGAGGGAAAGGCACTTTGCAGGACAGGGATGTGACCTGTCACATGGGTGAGAACAAATCTGTGTCAGGGAGAAGAGGCTGTAGAGGGATGGCAGAGATTGGACCAGCTTTGGGACTGGGGAGGGATCAGGGGCTCCGTAAGGTGATGGTGGGGTCTCGCGATCTGCAGAGGACCCCTCAGTGATGGGAGCCCTTGTTATGCTGCCTCCTGACTTTCTTCCTCATTGTATTTGACCCGAGCACAAGCCACAGGGAGCATGAAGCAGCCCCCAGGGAGGTATTGGGTATGCCCCAACCACGGCTCCGCGGACCACACCGGAGAGGCCCCCTCCCCTTTGTTCTCACTCCCTGCACGCACGGTCCGGGTCACGCTGTCGGCTCCCACCGAGCGCGCCTCTCACTCACACAATGGGAGAGGGGTTCGCTCCCAGCCTCCTCCCGTCTCGCTGTCCGAGTCCCCCAGCCCCGCCCGCGCCAGCGGAATCCCGGGTCCCTGCGGGGGGAGCACAGTACCTTTCACGACGTGCTCCCGGCTGGGGGACTGAGGAGGGGGGAGGACTATTTTTAGAATATATGGAAGAAAAGGGGTGGGGGGAAGGATGGAGGTCTGTAGAAGCCTCTCAGCTCCCAAGAGGAATGCCCCCTGCCCCAGACCGCGGCAGAAGGTGGGTGGGGTTCAAAAATGGGGAGGGGCACTGCAAGGGGTGGCTTGGGAGGGCGCCAGGCTTTCTTGGGGGTGGGGGTGGCATCTAAAGGAGGAAAACAGCAAGACGAAGCCGGCGGCCCCACAGATCAGCCGGAGAGACCCTGGAGGTGGGCGCTGTCCTTTGACCAGAGGGAAACTGAGGTTCAGAAAGGGGTTCGGGCAGGACCAAGGTCACCGAAGGGGTCTCCTCTGGGTTCCCCCGGGCCGTCCTCCAGGGATCCAGACCCCGGGAGCCGCATAGATCTAATTTGGCGGAGTGACCTTCACAATTCTGTCGCCCGGGGCCTCTGCCATTCAGGCGCAGAGGGGTCCGCGATCCGGCAGGTGAATTGGGGGAGGGGACACATCACCGATCCAAACACGAGACATAGAAGTTTCCTGTTGTTTGCTTTCTGGTCACCTAGACTCCCCCTTTCTCACTGGGACCTTCCAGCCAGGGCAACGTCACCGGCTGCCCCGAGCCTCTAGTCTCGCCCTGGACCCTCCCCAGTCCCCAGAGCCAGCGCCCCCTGCCCTGCCTTGTGCCCCCTCGCTGGCTGGGCGCCTTCCCGGGATTCTGGAGATCCGGCCCCGGAGTGCGGGGGGCAGCCGTGTCCAGCGCTGCCGGGGCGCCGGCCCGGCCTCGGGCTTCCCTTCTCCCGGCCTCAGTTTCCCCGGCTGGACAACGTGCGGCCTCCAGCCGGCAGCCGCAGAGGGGCCTCCCAGCTTGGAGCGTCCTCCGAGATTGCTGTCACGCCCCTGAAGGGGGTGGGCTCGGCGAGACGCGGAGGGGGATTCCCTCCTTGTCCCCTTTCTGGAGAAGAGCGGCGGCGGGCGCTCGGCGGCGGCTCCCTCCCTGGCTCCCCGCGGGTCGGCCCCCTCCCGGGCGGCGGGGCGGGGCGGGGCGGCGGGCGGGGGTCAGCTCTGCGGCGGCGCGCGCACACCTCCCGCTCTCACGCCCTTGCCCGGCCGGGCACTTGTCTTCGCGCTCGGGCCGGGCGCCGGCTCCGGCTGCTGCGGCCGCCTCTGGCCGGTGAGTGGGCAGTCGGGGGATCCCAGGGCGGGGGTCCCAGCGGCGTCCCCCATCTCCTTGGTGGGCGAGTAGGTCAGGGACTTGTCCGCCTGGAGCAATCCCAAGGGGAGCTGCGGAAGGGAGCGAGCGTCCCTTCTCGTGTCCCCCTGACACAGAGCCCTGTGTCTGCTCCGGACCCCACCCCCATATCTCTGGGAGGAGGGGGCTCCTACTCCAGGGTCTGGGGATGCAGCGACAGACCCCTGTGGGATGAGAGTGGGGACCTGGGGACTTACCAGGCTGGGGGCATCCTCCGTTGCCGGGTGCTGGCCCTCATGACCCTTTGATCCCTCCCTTCCCTCCCATAGTCCCGTTCCTTCCCCGGTGCGTGGTGGGGATTCCCTCCGCTGCGGAGTGGGAGGGAACCCCCAACCTTAGAGCTTGGCAGCTGGTCTTTCCTCTAAGCTCCCCCTACTCTCATTTACAGAAAGAAGGAGGACTGAGGCCCAGAGAGGGTTACCACTTGCCCAAGGTCACCCAGCTGGGCAGGGGCAGAGCAGGTTTGGGGGTTAGATTCACTAACCCTAGAGCCGGCTGGTGGGCTATCTCTGGATCCTCTGCTCCCTGGGTTCAACCCTGAGGGTGGGTGGGAGGGCACCCTCCCGGGGGCCCTGGATCTGGGCGTATTCCTTACAATCTCATTTTCCGTGTCTCCTCATCAGCTTGAGACCCAGTGGAGCCCCGACCTGGCTCTGTCCCTAGGTTCTCTGATCTCTTCCTCCTTTGTCCTCCCTGGCCCCCTCTCCCTCAGCCTCTTCAGGATGCCCAAGACCTTGTCAGAGGGAATCCTTGAGGTGTGGGGGGGGCTGCACATGAACGAACCAAAGCTCTTTGAGTCAAGCAGGACAGAATCTCAGACCTGAGGGGCGACCTTGGACCACCCTGCTGCCCTCCTGGGCCAGCATCAACTCCAAGGCCCCCTTAGCTGGAAGAGGAGGCCTCTGTGCCATCTAGGTGGCCCTCGCCCCATCCCAGATCCTGGTGAAAGAAGGGACCTCTGTGACATTCGAGTTCTTGGCTGGGTTTCCCCTCCATCCCCCTCAAATCAGCCCCTCCCAGCACACTGAAAGTGGAAAGGAACCGTGGAGGGACTTGGGGAAGGACAGGACCAGCATGGGGAAGGGCAGAGAGAGCAGTCAGTGTCCAGCACCTAGTGGAAACGGAGCGTCCTCCAGGGCTCCCCAAGGCCCCGCTGGACAGGCAAAGCCACCGATTTTAAGTTTCTTTAAAACTTCCCAAGTGACCTAACTTTCGCCGTGGAGTCACTCCCCTGGTCCCTGTCTTAGCCCACACCCCTTCCCCTTCTCTACCTCCTTCCAGGTCCTGAGAGGACACAGCAGCTACAGCAGCCCGCGGCTGGGACTGAAGACCCCTGGACAGCAGCTCAGTGACAGAACCCTGCACCCAGGGTGAGTGAGTCGAGCCTCGGGTCACCTTTGGGGTTGGGGGTGGACCAGGGTTGGACAGAAAGACTGATAACTTAAGGAAAAATTACCAGCCTTTGAGATGACGACGATAGAATATTAAAAGTAATAGCAACGATTGCTTTCTAGAGCCCCCTCAAAAGTCACCTCCTGTTTCCTCTGATCATGGGTAGCAGAGAACTTGCTCAGAGGGTCTGGTGGTCCACCCAGGGTCACACAGCTAGAAAAAGATGGAGTTGAACCAGGTCCAAAGGCGCCCACAGCCTCCGCTTGCTTTCCCCTGCAGACACTGCCTGACGTTTGGGGTTGTCAGTGAGCTCCCCCGGGGGGATGTTATGGTCACTCAGTGAATCCAAAAATACCGGGCGGTTGGCTACTGTGTGCCAGGCTCTGGGCTGGGTACTGGGGACATAGAAGGACCGAGACAGGTCCAGGTCAGTCCTTGTGGAATTTCATGGGGGCATCAGTTAAGAAAGTGACGTGTATTGGCAGGAAAATGGAACATGGTGGTGTATGAGAATGACCAAGGGAGTCTCCTGTAGACCCACAGAAGAGCTTCTTCGAGGGGAAGGGCAAGGTTCCCTGTAGGTGGGCAGAGGGGCCTCTCTGGGGAGATGACCATGAGGAAGAGGATGAACCAACCAAGTGAGAGGTAGGGGAGAGAGGTAGGCAGACCCAGCAGAGAGAACAGCATGTGCCAAGGTCCTGAGGTGGGAACAAGCTTGGCGTGTCTGAGGAACACTGAGAAAGTAACTGCGGCTAGAACAGAATGATCAAAGGAGAGAGTGGAGGGAGGCGAAGGCAGAGAAGTTGGCAGGCAAGGAACACAGGGGCTGAGGTAAGGGCACTGACTGCAGCGCACAGGGCAGCCATGGGGGGCTGGGAGCAGGGGAGGGGGCTGATGTGATTTAGGGTTTTCGGAAGCTGTCATGACTGCTGTGGAAGGTGGGGACCATCAGGGCCAGAGTGGAAGTGGCAGGGGTCAGAGCCCTGGCTGGAGGCATCTGGCGGTGTTAGCTGGGCCGGACCAGAGTGGGCTGGGGGCGAGGAAATGAGACCAGGCTTCTGCCTTGGGTCAAGGACCACAGGGAGGGAAAAGCAGGGGTCTGTTGTGCCTGGGGAACACCCGGGGCACATCCTGGAGGCGTCCCTGAGCCAGAGGGGAGTGAGTGGAGGAGTTAGCCGGCAGCAGAGGCTGGATCTGTGTGGAGGCCACAGGGGGCTGGGAGGGTGCCACTGAGCGCCCAGAATTAGAGGAACAGGGTGCAGTTTGCAACCAAGAAAGATCCTTCTGGGGGTCTGGAGGGGTCGGCCAGGAGTCCCTATTGAGATAGTCCACGTAGTAACTAGGCCAGTACCAGCTGCAAGCATCCATTGAGCACTTGCTGTGTGCCTGGGACATTTGATGGGGATTAACTGCTTACCCCTCGGCTCTCCAAGGGGCCTCACTGCCTTGCTGAGGAAATTGAGGCTCAGGGAGGCACATCGCCCGGCACCCCTGTACGAGTGTCCTGCGGCTGCTAGGACAAATGACCACAAGTCGTGGCTTAAAACAACACAAATTGATTCTCTCACAGTTCTGGAGGCTCAAAGTCTGAAATCAAGGTGTCACAGGGTCACGTTTCATTCTGAGGCTCCAAGGGAGGATCCTTCCTGCCTCTTCCCGCATCTGGCATCTCCTGATGGACTGCATCTGTGCCTCAGGTTGTCACCGGGCCTTCTTCCTGTGTCAGTGTCTACACACAGCCTCCTTACACAGACGTCCATCATTAGATTAGGGGCCACCCGAATCCAGTATGACCTCATCTTAATTTAAGGACATCTGTGAAGACCCTGTTTCCAAATAAGGTCCCAGTCTGAGGTTCTTCTCCGATGAGGACTTGAGTTTCCCAAACCAGTGCAGCCACAGAGGAATATGCAGGGCAGGTGGCCAGGTAGGGGCCACCAGGAGGGGGAGGGGGAGTAGCCTGCCGCATCCCAGCCTGAGTGTGAAGGAGGGGACCTTGATGTCTGGGGCAGGGACGGGGCCTCTCAGCTCTTTGAGATGTTCCGTGGGGACTCCTCGCTTCTGCTGGCGTGGCCTCCCACCTGTCTGTCATCCCTAGGCGTCTACCCCCAGTGACAAGCAAAGCCCCTACCCTCTAGGCTCATTAGCAGAGTCTTATGTATTTATTTAGAGACTCTTTATGTGTCTTTGTCACCATGGTGTCCCCACCTGAGTACAGGTCCTATTCCTGCACACAGAAAGTGCTTCATAAATGCTGACAGAAGGAACCCCAGGTTCCTAAATCCCAGGGGACCCAGGAACGAGGCCTCTGGGCCCCCTGCCTGCCCCAGCCTCCCTGGCCTGCCTTGTCCCCTTCCTGCCCTGCAGTCCTCCGGAGCCCAAGGGGGCTAAGCCCTGCAGGTGGCTCTGCTTGGTCACCCCACCCAGCCTCCTGCCCATCCTGGGACTCTCTGCCCGGCTTGCCCCTGCCATCCATCCCAATGTCTCCTGCTTCTCTCTCCAGGACACCCTCCTGGGTCCCCCCAGGGCCTCACTGCCTCCAGCTCTTTGAAGTCTGGTGGTCTCGGCCCCTGTCCTGTGTCTCTTGACTTGACTGGCTCTGCCCAGGGCTTTTGTGTATCTGAGTATGTGAATTTTTTTGGGGGGGGTACCCGGGATTGAACCCAGGGCGCTGAACCACATCCCCAGCCTTTTAAAAATATTTTGTTTAGAGCCAGGCTCTCTCTGAGTGGCCTCGCTTAGTTGCTGAGGCTGGCTTTGAACTTGCAGTCCTCCTGCCTGAGCCCTGAAGTTCTATTCGTTTGTTCTGATGGTGCCGCGGAGGGGGCCGGGCCACACCGGGCAAGCATTCCGCCATGGAGTTGCACCGCCAGCCTCCGGATCCTTAGTTTTCTATCCTTATTTGAAGAGGATTGTCCCTCTCCTCGGGGAAGCCAGCTCCAGGGGGCTGTAGGAGGAGCGGGGTTTGTACAGTCTGGTCTCTGTCCCCAGCACAAGGCTCTGCGATGGAGCTGGGTGGATACATGAATGAAGGAAGGGACAACCAACCAGAGGGAGGTGAATGAATGGGGAATGCGAGGAGGGAGGGGACGCTGGCCCTGCTCTGCCCTCCCTGGCACACTGGGCACAGCCTCCCCGCAGGCTGCTCTGGAAGGCTCCAGGATTTCAGTGGAGGCACAGCTGGTGGGGCTGGGGCGGGGGAGGCCCAGGTCCCCTCCTGCTCAGCTGCTGCCTCGGGTCCTGGAGGTCCTGTGAGGGTCTCCCAGCCTCCTGCACCCACCCTCAGCCACTGCCCAGGGGTTGCTGGCGCCAAGGAAGGACTTCCTGTTTTGCTGCCTGTGAGCAGAGGGCTCAGCCAGTGTGCACAGCCATTTCCCGGGGCGTGAGTCCCAGGGGTGCCTTGGGCGGCTACCAAGCTCATTTGCAGGCTCCTTGGGTGCAGCCACAGGCTGATGGGAGGCTCTGCCTGGAATACAGCCCCAAGAGGCCCTGCGTGCCCCACCCGCGTCCACTCCCAACGCCCATCACCCACTGCGGGCCTTGACTCCAAGGGGCGGGAGTCCAGTAGGCAGCAGTGCCATCTCAGTAGACCACCAGCTCAACTGTCCCAAAGGTGAATAAAGGACTTTTTCCAAAGGGAGAAGGTGGGCACAGAGGCTGGGGGGCCTGGGCAGGGCCAGGGGGGTGGAGGGTGGGACTGATGCTTTTGTGAACTTTGGCTTGTTTACATGTCAGACTTGAATCTGGAAGACACGCAGTGCCACAGCCTACGCAGGCAGGGTGGGCAGGGTCAGCCTGTGGGCACAGTAAATGCTGCCCGTGGAGCAGGACCTGTACATGGGCTGGAGCAGGCAGTCAGTGACCAGGGCCCTGGGGTGCAGGGCAGGGTGTGTTCCTGATCCTGGGGAGCTGTGGGTGGCTCTCTCAATAGTGTGCTTTAGAAGGACCCTCCCACCCTCCAGGCAGGGACTTGGAGTGCAGAGGGCTGGAGGTGGAAGGAGAAAGAGGGGTGGGGGAGACTGGGGCGACAGGGGGTCTGGCGAGGGAGCAGCTATTCAGGAGGGAGGAGGGGCTTTCCTCAACACAGCTGAGATCTGTCCCTCTGAGGTCCTCAAGGCACTCTGGGGGATTTTGTTTGTTTTTGTACCTACCCTGGTGGCACTCATCCAGCCCCATCTATGTGGCCATGGCAGGGACCACCAGGGCCTCCATTTCCTGTCACATCCCTGAACACTGTCACCACCTCAGGGTGGCCAGAACAGGCTCGGGAAAGAAGAGAACAGGGCCCATCTGCCACCCTGGGCCCGGAGGCATCACCTGGTCCTGCTCAGTCTCGGTCCCATCAGCTGCCCCCCTGCCACCTTCTGCCCAGCAGCCACCCACCCGCCCTCTTTCCTCCCTTCTTTCAGTCCAGCTGTTTTCTGAGAGTCCGGAAACACGACTGCCCCCAGGCAGTGACAACTACAGTCAGGTGTTCCCACCTAGAGCTCCAGGAGGAAAGCAGATGGGGGTGTGTGGGGAGAGGGGAGGAGCCAGCTGCTGCCCCAGGGACCCCCCAGGCTAGGGAACAGATCCACACACTGCCATCCCTACAGCCAGGGACCAGGGGGACGAGGGCAGTGAGGCGGTCTGGGGGAGCAGGAGCGTTCCCCACCTCCGTCCCCCGAGCCCCGTTAAGGTTGAATGAACACCAACCTAAGTGTCTGGGGAAGGGACAACTGTTTGGGGGACCCCCAACTTGGTGATCCCAGCTCGGTGGGACTCCTGCGCCTGCCATCTGGGCATGGGTGTTGGGGTCTAGGGGTGGAGAGCCCGAGGTGAGCAGGCATCTCCCCGCCCAGAGAAGGTGTCCTCCAGCCAGTTACCCGCTCCCCACCGCAGACACCCCGGAGCCCCCCGCTGCAGCAGGCTGCTAGGCGCCCCCTACTTGCCCGCATCCTGCCCCCGCCTCTGCTCCTCTACGCAGAGCCGACCACTGAGGAGGTCGTTTGGGGAGAGGGCGTCCCTGCAAACTTGTCCACTCAGCTGGTGGAGCCGTGCGGAGGGCCCCCAGGCACGCCAAGGTTGGAGGGGCCACTGAAGTCAGGGGACCCATTTTGGGGCACGAGTGGCTAGGAGGCTCCAAGGCTGTGGCGAGCGGGGCTTGTGGTTCTGGCAAGGCCCCTTCCGTGACGCGGGGCAAGAGTGCGAACTTGACCACGAGCTGAGAGCAGAACGGCGGCCCGGAATGTGGGATCTTTAAATATGGGCGGGGCTAGCGGGGTCGTCGGGGGCGGGGC